CATAAATTATCGATCATGTTATCGATAACTTAGTGATCGATAAAGTTATCTATCACTAGTCTATAATCAGTACCTGCATTCAAAAGGTTAGAGCTCAATGTTCGATCATATTATCAATAAACAATGATAGAATCAATAAGCAAAATAGGTAGAGTGCCTTACCATTTATCGATGTCGTTATTGATAACGTATTTATCGATCACTTGATCGATAAAGTCAGTTCAGATTCACTTCTTTTTATCTGTCACTTGTTCGATCATCTTGGATTATCGATCAATTTATCGATAATCGACAGTTGCCTTATATGACTTTTACGTTAGCGATAATCGATCATTTTATCGATCAATGAATTATCGAACAGATCATCGATTAAAATACTTAACATTAAACTGATTTACACTGAAGAGTTATCTGACAGCTTATCGATAATCATTTAATCGATCAGATGATTGATCAACACACTTAACCAATTTAATCTAACTTTGTTATCATCAAAACCATAATCCTAACATTCTCCCCCTTTTTGATGATGACAAAACATAAGTGAAAGGTATAAACCAAACAATAGCAGAAACATCAAAATTAAGCATTGAATCAGATAAGTAGACAGCCAATGTCAGTAAACCATATCAGTACATGGGTTCATGACAGAAAAAGATATTGAGGCAATACAAAATGATAGAAAACAGATAAACAAGCTAAAAATCTAATCAATATCAGCAACGTCCATATCAGTGTGCTTCTCCCCCTTTTTGTCAGCATCAAGGGAAGGAGAGGAAGTGGAAACAGTGGGAAATGGTAATGGAATAGGGAGAGGAGGAAGACTAGAAATGAGATGAAGAGAAGGAAAAGGTAAGGTGGGAACTGGTTGAGGCACAGTGATGAGAGCGAGTGTGGTGGAGGTAGGGACAGTGGAAGAAGGATCAGAAGTGATAATAGGAAGGAAGGGCTGGCTCAGGATGAGGTGGAGATGGTGGATGAGAGAAGAGATCCTCATAACTGAAGCTGGTACTGGAGGTAGTGAAGTTGGTGCAGAGGGAAGTTACCAGTCCTTTGAGCTCTCTGAGTTCCTTATCCACTGAATCAAATCTCTCTGCCACTTCCTTTTCTAAGACTACCATGGCCTGTCGGTGAAGGTCTAGAATTTTGGAGATACCCTTAAACTTCCTGTCAGAGACTTCCCCATACTCTCTGGCAGTGATGTACACTCTATGCTCAAATGCTTGGAGCTCTGCTTGAAACATCTCTCTGATAGATCGCTCCATGAAAGATGGTTCAGGGGCATGAGATGGAGCTGCAGTAGATTCAGCTTTATCCTAAGTCCGAGATGTACTAGCAGCCGGTTGCTTCCCCTTATCCTTTTGAGATACCTTCTGTGATGGCTTGAAGGGGACAGGAATCCTCATTTTATTCAGCTACGTGAGACCAAAAGCAGGTACTTTGGTCTTGATTTCTCCAGGCTCAAGTGGATCAATATTGTGTGCCTGAAGAAGGTAAGTAGCCAGCTGAGGGTAGGGAATTGGGGGTGAATTTAGACTTGTTGAGGACAAAGCCCTTCATCTAAGTGTATATAAGATCCCTAATATTGATCTTTTCTCCACTAATAATTCTAGCTAGGAGTAAATAGTCATCCTGAGTGAGGTGTGAGAAGCTTCCAGACTTATTTACCATACTCCGAGAGTAGATGTAATGTATAATCCGATAGTAATCACATATCTGCTTAGGAGGAAAACTCAGCTCACCAGGAAAATCATCACTCTGCATCAGTATTCGGTAAGCCTTTACCTCATTCATTTCTCCCCCTCTCACAGACTCTTAGATTCCCAATAACTCATTTAGCTTGGCATTGGTAATTTTGAATGATCTCCCTCTCAGTGTGACTTTCAGATAATCCTCTATAAGGTTGTCCATGTTACAGTAGAATCTTTTAATCACCTCAGGACAGTACTCCCTATCAATGATTAACCAATTGGAATAGTGCTGTAAAGGGTCACTTAGGTCGAGGTTAATCTCTTTATTTTTCTTCAGACTTTCTATGTCAACAGATACCACAGGGCAGAATTTTCTATTGGCAAAATCAGTCTTGTATTTTGTTATATTCACATCCACATCCAGATTGCCAACAAGTAGCTCAGAAAATTCGGTTGAAATACCTTCAGTAGGAACTTGCCGAGAGCTATCTTCCCTTATTCTTTGCCTTTTTTGTCGAGATTGCCGAGGTACAGGAACTTGCAGAGCTAATTCCATAGCTTTCTGAACTGAAGCCTCTTCATCGGACTCAGTCTCAGATCCTTGAGTGACCATGGGCAGTTTGGATTTAGCTTGGGGGGATTTTCTGGGTTGTTCTCTGGATTGGCTCTCTCGAATTTTCAGAACCCCCTTTTTCTTTGTTGATTCTTCTTGTACTTTTGGTCTGTAGCGTTTCTTGGTTCCCGATAGAGTAGTTTCGGCCGATTGAGTTTTCTTTTCAAGATTCTCTTCCCTCTCCATATTGGGTTGCTTTACTCTTGCCATTGTTGGGGTTACCGAAGAGCAGCTGAGTGAATGATCGGTTTAAGTGTGATGTTTGGAGCTCGAGGTAGGTCAGAAATGTAGTAGGGATGTATTAGAGTAGAAGGGAGACAAGAAATTTAATAAAACAGTGATTTTGGACCGTTGCGAGAAACAGGGGATGGGAGTTTTTTTGAGTTAGAGTTCGATAACTGACGGTGGAGTTTCAAAAATTAACCGTTATAAGTTTCAAATTTATCAATGAAGTTATCGATCAACTCTTGATCGATCACGTGTTCGATAAATATAAAGAACACACATGAACACAGAACAGAATTATCGATCACGTTATCGATCAAGCAATTGTCAAACATGTTATCGATAAAATCAGTAATAGAGACGCGTACCTAGTCTTGTTTATCGATCATTTGATCGATAATCTATTTATCAATCAACTTATCGATTAATGCTTACCAATTCTGAAAGAGAGATCTTGAAACCTTGAGGCTCTTGATCGATGTTCTGATCGATAAAGCATTTATCGATCAGCTTATCGAAAATTGTTTTGTTGGAGTGCTTTCTTTTTTTTTCACAAATTGAATTTATTGATCAGGTGATTGATAAATTACTTTCTTTTTACCTTCATGATTATCGATCATTTGATCAATAATTTCATACTTTGTTTACCTGTGTTTTTCTTCATCGAAACAAAGCTTCCTGCAAAACAAATTTCTACATACTCCGATGCTTAAGTTAGTTATTTTATCATCAAAACATTGAATTAAATAATTAATCTTGAGAGATAACATGATATTTCTTACAGCTCATTGGGATTTACCATTCCCAATTCTCTTCGAAAGAAGTTGAACTCCTGTTGATCTAGAGGTTTCGTGAAGATGTCGGCTATTTGAAATTCAGTGGGGATGAACTCAACCTTTACATCCTTCTTTTGAACATGGTCCCGAATGAAGTGATGTCGGACATCGATGTGTTTGGTTCAAGCATGATGGACTGGATTCTTGGACAGACTTATCATGCTCGTATTATCACATAGGATTGGAATCTCACGTAAGTTGATTCCTAAATCCTGTAGTTGTTACTTTAACCATAAGATCTGAGCGCAAAGCAACAACAGGCAGTGGCTACATATTCTGATTCAGTTGAGGAGATTGCCATGGTATTCTACTTTTTACTTGACCATGAGACGAGACATCCTCTGAAAAATTGACATTGTCCACTGGTGCTTTTTCTATCCGTCTTATATCCACCATGATCTGCGTCAGAGTATCCTATTAGATATTCGGCTCCCTTTTTTGGATACCAGATTCCTAAATTTTGAGTTCCTACAAGATATCTGAGAATCCTCTTGACAGCTTCTTCATGTGACTTTTTTGGAGCTGATTGATATCTTGCGCACATTCCCACATTGAATTGAATATCTGGTCTACTAGCAGTGAGATATAGTAATGAGCCGATCATTCCTCTGTATCTCGTTAGATTTATGTCTTTGCCGTCTTCGTCTACATCAAGCGAACAGGTTGAGCTCATAGGAGTCTTTACACTTTTGGCATTCTCCATTCCAAATTTCTTCAGTAACTCCTTCAGGTATTTCGTCTGGGATATAAATATGCCATTTTTCTTTTGTTTGATTTGTAATCCCAGAAAGAAATTTAGCTCTCTCATCATTGACATATCGAATTCTCCCTGCATAAGCTTAGCAAATTCTTGACAAAGATCTTCATTTGTAGCATCGAAAATAATATCATCCATATAAATTTGAACAATCAAAATATCTTTCTTATTTCTTTTAACTAGCATCATCTCCCTCGCGCATTGCGCGGGACTAATTAACTTCAATTAAATAAATTCTCAAAACACATTAGAATCTCTACCACTCAACTCTTAACTGAAGACCATTACAACCAATGCTTAGAGAATGACACTCAAACAAATCATTCCAAAATTCTCGGCAAAAACATATGAATCCAAGCTTGCCAATTGAAGAACCGGTTTGTTCCCTTTCATCAAACCTGATACAAACCTCAACTCATAAATAGTAGCCACAAAAAGAATTATATTTCATTTAACACTTCCCATTCACTCAAACCATAATAAATAATCCAAGACGCAATATCATTGTATTACAGTATTCATCATTAGCAATTGCCAAGTTAAATAACATTATTAGTTTTAAAAAATTTCATCAATCCTTCTTTCCCTAGAAGAAGCAACTAAGACATAACCTGGCAACAAAATGAATTCTACCAAAGTGCATAACGTGAAATAGTCACTACCAGACATTTTTATGACATCAATGCATGAACACAGAGTAGCTAGTTGACAAAGAGATGCTGGTAGTGGCTACAATAATAATGAAAAACAGAGTTCAATCATGGACGGTACATGTAAGGAGACAACTAAAGCATGTACAATAAAAATATACCGTTTACAAATGATGATGAATTCAACATGAATATGAACCACAAATAAGATTGCCACCTCAATTAATTTTAAATCTGTATGCTTGGATCCACATTTCGAAAAACCTCCCTGAAGACTACATTCGTAGTGAAGTTACTCGCACTAGAAACATCATTGTGTACAAGAATCTTCAGATCACCCATGCTCCTAACCCTGGATAGGGCAACGTATAACTGACCATGTGAGAATACAGGTTTTGGTAGATATAATCCCACATAACGTAACGATTGCCCTTGACTCTTATTTATTGTCATTGCAAATGACAAAGTGATTGGGAACTGTCTCCTTGTCATTCGAAAAGGCAAATGACTTTCAGAGGGATTCATATCCATGCGATGGATCAACACTTTCTGGTTGGGTTTAGAACCATTCAATGTTACTGCTTTAATGACAGTCTTGCCAAGTTTTGTTACACGCAACCTAGTTCCATTACACAGCCCTGATGCTTGGTCAATGTTTCTAAGCAGCATCACCGGTGTTCCTACTTTCAAGGACAATTTATGCAATGGCATTCCAGAACTATTGATAGTGTTTAAGAAGTCAATCGTGTACAAATCTTTAAAGCAATCATTATTGTTGAATGATTTGCAAACAAAATCACAACTCAAGTACTCAACATGTTCGCCAGGCAAAAGAGAACACATATAATCATTTACTTGGTTTACAACCTCAATTGTGGGTGCAAGGATAGCCCTGTCATTGAAATAATCAAAACTTGATAAATTCTGCAAAAGATCAGGGTAAGTGGCAGATACAATGGCACTAACAGGATCATCATAATTAGTGATTAAAAGATCATCAGGGATTTCAATTTTAGCTATGCCATCGTGAGGCATACCAAGATTACCATCTCCCACATCTAAAAGCCACTTTGAGAAATTTTGCAAGTCCTTTTGTTCTTCGATGGAAGAAACAGATGATAAGCGCATGCTTTTCGTCAACGTAAAAATGGTGCAATAGTCCCAAAGATATGAAGAAGTCACGCATGCATTTACTATGTCAGCTCTGGAACCTTTAGGTATGACAGGGAGTATTTGACGGAAGTCACCACCCATCACAATTGACTTCCCACCGAATGGGAAATTAGCATGCATAATATCTCTCAATGTACGATCAAATGCTTCGATGCAATAACGTTGCACCATGAGAGCCTCATCCCATATAATTAACTCAGTCTGTACAATCAAATTAGCTAAGGCAGAATTTTGTGTGATATTGCAAACAGAGTCTTCATTAACTTGTATAGCGATCGCAAACCTGGAATGTGTCATCCTTCCAAATGGTAATAATGTGGCAGTGATGCCACTAGAGGCAACAATAATAACAATATCGCCTCTAGCTCGAAGAGTAGAGGCCAAAGCATTCCACAGAAATGTCTTCCCTGTTCCGCCATAACCATAGACAAAGAAGAATGAACCAATATTTGAATTCAAAGAGGATATGATAGAGTCAAAAATATGTTTCTGCTCTGAATTTAATGAGTTGATCAAAGTGTTCGATTCTTCTTTCATGGATGTTTGGTCATAACCAAGCTCTTGCAAAATGAGATGATTGCTGATATCAAGTGGACTAAATGATGCTGGTTTTGGAAGCATAGGAAAGTCATTCAAGGTCTTCCCATTCTCTTGCAACAATGATTCGATTTCTTTCAAGGTAGCTTCTTCCTTCTCACTTATAGATATATGTACCCCTGCATAAATATCACTAAAGTGATAAGTAAGAATATGTAAATTGAAAGTAAGGACAATTAGTACAAAAACAAATCATTCATGCCTACTAATTTTATGAAAATATGGCAAGTATTGTTGAGATGAATATAGGTCTTACTTGATGATAAAGGATCTTGTGTGGTATGTATAATAAATCTTCAAACAATATTTTGAAGTTTGGTTCCAAACAAAATCAGGACGGCTTAGTGACAAACAAAGAAGCATGCTAACAAACATCTTTCGTAATGATCTCCCAGATGCCCAAACTGACGCCTCCTTAATGGCATTTATGTATTCACTATCATCGTGTAATAATCCAAGAGCAAAGCACGCAGCTCTAAAAGTGGAATGCACAACACCATCCACTGTTCTAATCTCTTCAAATGATGAAGGACCTCTAACCTTAGTTAAGAGGATTCGTAGATAGTAAAGTTCACCAGATGAAGGAGACACATGAGTAATCCTTCCTATGGTAAATCCCTTCTGTCTAATTTTCCAACATCGTTTGCTTCTTTGGTAGACAAAATATTGTGGAAACTCAGAATAAGTAAGAGTTTTAGCTAAATCATTATCATGATTCATTTTCATCCAAGCAAGGAACATTGACTCACAAACACGGCGCTTATTAAGTAGGTCCTCAATATCATCAGCATTAGAATAAACAACACATTGTTGGTTAGGTAAATGGAAGCTTAACCTTTCAACAACCGGATACCTGTGGTGTATATCAAAGGCAAATATGTGCCAAGCTGCCTCACAAGCTGAGATATACCTAAAGTTGTAATACTGTTGAATCTCATCAATCGGCCTGCCTGAAGATCCGTCCCCAGCGCTCTCATAAATAGATGCCACAACTCTATCATTTCCCTTACTAATATACTTGAATAAGTACTTGATTGCAGATGACTGGTTACACTTCTCAACATTAATATGAGCTTCAAACATAGTTAACAATGTGGGGTTATAAGGCACAATAAACCGGTTATCCAGAGGAATGCCTTTGACTTCAATTGTCCTCCCATCATCTCTCCTCCTATATGTAGGATATCTATCATCATCAACAATAGTTTGTTCCACAAAGTTCTTGGAGAAATACTTACTGTACTTATTATCCTTCATGCAAGGGGACTTAGGGTTTGAACGACCACATGGGCCATGTATCATGAACCTCTTAACTAAGTCATACAACTGTGGTTCTTCATCCAAGTTAGGTATTTCTGCAGAGATTACCCTATCCACATCCTCCGGATATTTAGGTTGATCACGTTGATCTAGAACAACAAAATGTGTGCATGTGGAAGTCCTCTTTTTGGAATTCAATCGTATGAACGTTGCATGAATAATAAATGAGTAAGCAATAAGCAATAGATCATTAAAGTATCTTGACATTATCATAAGAAGAGAACAAAAATTTGACTCACCTGCAATAACAGTACCAAATATCTTCTTCTTCTTGATTGTATCCATTAGAGCCTTAAGCTTTATATGGAAAACCCTACACAGTATCTCCGGCTTGTTAGCACTAGATAATGATTCATTTTCCATCAATCGTGTGACCTCTTGCCAAGCTAGATTACATGTAAATGTAATGAAAATACTCGGGTAACCTGCCCATCTACAAATAGCCATTGCATCTTTATAGTTGCCAACCATATATCGTGCCCCTCCAGTGAAGGAAGATGGAAGAATTATACGCTTCCCTGTGGACGATGCACTTCTTTCTCCAGTTAATAGCGCATCTGTCAATCCCTGATACAAATCTGCCCTAAGTTCCTTCTGGTGCATTTTGACCCATAATAACCTTTGAGCTTCTATCATGGTATAACCATCAACTATGAATTGCTGGAATAACTTCTCTGCATGAAGTATGGTTGACATCTCATTTTCCCTCATCATCAACCTATATGCAAAATACTCTCTAATACTAACCCGCTTTTTCTTCTTAGTATTAGAAAGAGTCTCTTCACGATGTTCTATATTGTCACGATAACCATCCTCACCTCTAGGAAATAATATTGGGTATTGGAGTGGAAGATAGGAAGGATGCAATTCATCAATACATTGTGGCAAGCCTGACAACTTGTGAACTATAACATCTCTTCTACCGAAATTCATATCAATGTCACCAATAATTAAAGCAGCAACCTCTGAAGTAGACGGCAAATTGTAATTTTGCCCATCCTTCGTTCTTGTACTGATTAAACAAATTTTCACATCAGTGTTTTGGTCATTCTTGATCATTGATGATGCTGCTCGATATTGTTTTACAAAATGGTTGGCATCATCAAGGGTTTTCTTGATATGATCAACAATATTATTATCAATGTTAATGATACTAAAGAAAAAATGCAAATCAGCAAGAAGTAACCTTCTTAACCAAAAAATTACCTTATAGCAGATATACGGTTGCATACTTCATTGTCAGTATCATATATGTACAGTTGGGAGTAAACAGGCTTTGATCCTTTAGGAGGTAATAAACTTCCAATCCTATGGTAGTTAATGCCAGACAAAACAAATGAATAGGGACCACCACCAGAGTTCTTTGAGTAATCAATTTTACCACCCATAGAAGTAAAGGAGAACATATTGTTATAAGTTCTTATGTTTGTGAGGAAGTTTCTTGAAGATGGTGTCTTCTTATCAAAAAATAATCTTACAAACTGATCTGGAGGAGGTGCTAGAGGAGGAAGCTGAACTTTTCCTTTAAGACAGCACATTGAGAATGATGGGTTTCTAGCATACTTGTTTGATCCAACTTTCTCATTGAACCACATTAGTGCACCACATCTTTGGCGTTTAAATGTAGGATCCCCTATATCAACGTATCCTGCAACTACAACAACCGCATATCCTTAATGAACAGAAATTGAACCCATGCACTGATGCAAAGGAGAAAAAAAAATCAGGTATAATATATGACACCGCATACATTTCAGAATTTCATATCCTTCTCAACTCAATTTCTGGCAATTACTTGTTTCCTAAAGAGGGCCAAGTATGACCTTTCATGATCATGTGCAGGAAGATCATTTATCTGATTAGTTCACATCTTTCTAAGTTTACTTCATCAATGCTGTGACTTGCGTAAGGAACATGTAAATGGGAAAATTTGAATAAGAACTCAATAATTGGAGAATTTCTCATTCCAATAATTGTTTCACAGGTTGATCAGCTATGATTATATTATGCTACTATGTAAAAGACAATATATCAGAAAGAATTCAGCATGTCTAACCTTGTGTGGCTTTACCATTGTGCGCCTTCATAGATGTATGGTCAGGTTCAATGAATGTTAAGGTATTTGAAGTTTGATCACCTGAAAATCACATATGTTAATTTATACCAACATGTATTATACCTAGTGTGCAAGTGCAACGTTGAGTGGATGATATTTATACTTAATTCAATAATAAGATAAGGGAGTTTTTATTGAACTCATGTCCATGTACAGCAAGATCATTTATCTGATTAGTTGATAGCTTTCTAAGTCAACTTCATCAATGCTGTGACTTGTGGAAGAAACATGTAAATGGGAAAATATGAATAAGAACTCAATAATTGGAGGATTTCTGATTCCAATGATTGTTTCAGAGGTTGATCAGCTATGATTATATTATGCTACTATGTAAAACACAATATATTAGAAAGAATTCAGCATGTCTAACCTTGGCTATGTGTGGCTTGACCATTGTGTGCCTTCACAGATGTATGGTCAGGTTCAATGAATGTTAAGGCATTTGAAGTTTGATCACCTGAAAAGCACATATGTTAATTTATACCAACATGTATTATACCTAGTGTGCAAGTGCAACATTGAGTGGATGATATTTATACTTAATTCAATAATAAGATAAGGGAGTTTTTATTGAACTCATGTCTATGTGCAGCAAGATCATTTATCTAATTAGTTGACAGCTTTCTAAGTCAACTTCATCAATGCTGTGACTTGTGGAAGAAACATGTAAATGGGAAAACATGAATAAGAACTCAATAATTAGGAGAATTTCTCATTCCAATGATTGTTTCAGAGGTTGATCACCTACGATTGTATTATGCTACTATGTAGAAAACAATATTTAGGAAAGAATTGAGCATGTCTAACCTTGGCTATGGGTAGCTTCAGCACTGTGCACCTTCATAGATGTATGGTCAGGTTCAATAAATGTAAAAGTATTTGAAGTTTGGTCACCTGAAAAGCATGTGTGTTGATTTATACCAACATGTATCATACTTAGTGTCCCAGTGCAACATTGACTGGATGATATTTTGACTTCATTCAATAATAACATAAAGGAGTTCCTATTTAACTCACAGCATATATGTCAAACAAAACTTTTTATGCCCATTATTCTTGGAGTTATACTGTTCAGGAGAAGGGGAAAAATAAGATTACTGAATTTCCAAATTTAATATTGATAATATGTTATTAACCCTCACCATTATCATACTCATCTATACTAACTTCACTGCCAGTGTCACAAGGTCCGTCAAAACAAAAGCTTAGATTCCTATACCGTGCCTCAGCATTTTCTACAACAACATCTGCAGAGATAACCAATAACCAATATAATCAAGTGATGTCTAACCAAAAGGGGAATAAAACTAATCAAACCTGTGGTTGAACATGATGGAATCATGCCATCCATTTGTTCTGGTATGTGTGAAGTAAGATAATTGATATCTGGCGACAATCAATGATTTGAATTGTTAGAACGAAAGGATAGATAGAGGGTGCATACTATATTAAACACAGATGTAATGTCTACTGGAAAGAAGGATTTGACATTTTCTACGATACTGCAATTACCATGCACTGGATTATTAATTTTGCAAATTTACAAATGATAAGGACATGTATATTTGCCAAATAAACTAAATGATAGTTTCAAATTACTATTTCTTGTGTGTGCTGTTAACTATGCATTCATATAACCTGTTCGCTACCTTCCATTAAGTCAACTGAACCTACTAGGAACCTGTAGCTTAATGCAAAATCTCTTTATGATTTGGATTAATCAGTTTTAGTTCCCACCTTTGCCATGTATGCTCAACATGTAACGTAATGGTGACAATACTGTTAAGAAAGACAACAATCTAATATGCAGTCTTGTATAGATAGAATTGATAGGTGCATATTTCATAATGCTATACTTCCGCATGGACAACACATATCACAGAAGCTCCTAAGGTTAATGAAAATCAGGGATGGTAACGGTCATAATTTTTGATTTAGAAATCACTGATAGATATTTAAAATGCTGATAATCTATTACCTACAGTATCCTCTGTTAGTACAGGGCCTTCATTACGTTGATTGAGATTCTTAAATGCTACTAATCTACTGCTTCTTCGCCTAACTACACTGTTCCTGAACTCAAGTTCTCCTAGTATAATAGGAAACATAATTAGATAGCCTTAGTAGTAGAAGAATGCATGAGATATAATCGTAGCAGAAAAAACTTATGAACTTGATAATGATTTACCAGGCCTAGTATAGTTCTGGAATTCAGTTTCCAAATTTATTGCAACATTTGAAATGTCCTTAAGTGCAGGTCTTCTTGGCTTGCACCTATTCGATGGGTTTGTATTTCTTTGCAAACATCATTTTCCTAAGTGTACATCTCTGGTCTGCCATTAGCATTTCCTAAGTACACTGGACAATTTAATAGCACAATGATTCAATCATTCACTACAAATTTACAAAGGATGCCCAGTACATGAACATAACCACGAGACGGCATTTTGACCATACCTGCATTCCTTTTTGGAAAATTTGCGTATGTGGTCCCTGAATGATTTCTTGGTCTGGTGATTTGTCGTGGACTGTTCTCAAGAAAGGCAAAAGTCTCATATGGAATGTATGAAGGTTTCCTCTTCATGTGTTTTGCAGTATTTAGATTTGCTATGGATATACTTTACTCTGCACTTTTAGTAATGGTTAACAGAGAAGACTTCATACAATTTGTAATGAACAAAGAAAATAAGTCATAAAAATCAAGCCAACTATTAGTAGCAATGAATCCCTACTATTTGTAGAGCAAATAAGTCTGCACCAGTGTAGGCTATATTAGCATTGATAAATGGATTCAGTCAAATCATTGCACTGCTCAATGTTTATAGCTGGAAAAAAAGTAACCAACAACTTTTGTGGGTTGAGCTGTCTTTAAGTAATAAATATTTAAGGAGCTGCATTAAGATAGTAACTTAAGGTCATTGATATGTTATCAATTCGAAGAATCATGGGCCCATTTCATATGAAGCATTGACTACATTTTAGCTAATTCTATGACCAATAAAAAAAAGCTACAAATGAGCAAAAAAATACACGTCTGCAAGAAACACCTAATGAAGCAAAATCCACACATGCAACTCTACCAACCTCATTTGCATCTTTTATTCCTAAAGGTTTGGGCTTGAGAATGGCCAATTAAAAACAACCATCGGGCTTTATTCAGTTGTGGGAACAAAAAAAGGCATGTCAGGCCATGCAACACGGATAACCTCATTTTGGGGCAAAAATAATCTCAGCCAAGATTGGAGGAATTGCAAGTGTCAAGTGGCGCAATTTTATACCACTCTGTTAATTATTACTGTTTATTGTTGGGGTTGTATTTATTCTAGGCCCATCTGAGTCAATTGTTGCACCAACTACAGTAAATGTTAAACTCCAAGTGATGTTTGATATGTCATTATTGAATTTCAGTTTAACATATTACTACCAACTACTGATAACAGGTATTTATTAAAGCTAGAATTGAAGCTTAAGCCTCAGCATCATTCCCAGTTGAATTTTGTTTGAAATAGAACCATCAATATTAATACTTAAGATAGCCATGCCATTCAAATAACACAGATAACATACGTTTAGTCACTAGGTCCATGAAGCCAAGTGACACACAAAAAGACATTGCATAAATTAAAAGACAATCAACTACGTAGCCACATAGAAGATCCTACATTCCTAATGAAGAAACCAGAAACCAGCTGACATGGTCTCGTAAGGACTAATCCAAAAGATGACAATGACAAGACATGGCAATAACACTAAAATTCTTCAGTTCTTCTCTTGCTTGATGCTCTTTAAAGGCTTGGACGATGTCTTGATAGGTGAGGCATTGGGTGAACGAACCCATTTCTCCTTAACTCCAATGATCCTCTTCCCAGCTACCTTCCTCTTTGGCCTGTAAGTTGAGGGGCCAGCTATCCTAGACAGAGGTATCTCCTCAATGCCGGGGCTGTCTTCATCATTCTCGTCGATGGCAACATTAGTAACTTCATTCAATACTAGTGGGTCAGTAGTGACAGATTCAGGAACGACTGTGTCAGTGGCCTATAAACATTGAGGAAACAAACAACACATTATCTCCAAATGTTAGGGAATTAAAACTTTAGCAACATGTTTATATCTAAGTACCTCTTCTTCAGCATGGGTGTTCTGATCGCTAACCTGTACATGGCAGGAACATTTTTTTTCCAAAAAACTGTAAGTTGAAATTGAAAGTTGAAAAACAAACAAAGCCCTTAAATTGGAACTTCAATATAATAGTGTCTTGCCTCATTGAATTCATCCATCAAATCAGTGCATTGTGTGAATGATGCAACAGATATGCCAGAATTTGGGAAGTCAACGTTATACTTGTTCAGCTTAAGTTTCAACAGCACCGTCTTTCCAACCATTAGGTCTAGCTCATCAGGAAAATCATATTCACGTTCCTCCTTAAGAAGCATAATACACATTTTTAATTTTTAAGTGACGCAAAGCCATGACTACACTATACATGATCAACAGAAATAATCCATTACCTTAATAAGAGTGTGATTCATCTCAAGTGCAGTCTTTTGGAAGAAATTAGAAGCAAGTTTGTCAAAGAAGACTACAGTTGCCTTGCCAGATGAATCCTCAACCGTGTAGTGGACCCTTAACCTATAAATAGTACTCATTATTAACCTTAATTAAGCGAAGCTCGCACCCATAAAAGATTTCTGAAGATGAGGTGAGTTAAAGTTGTACTTGGGTTCAAAAGTCACATGTCCTTTCTTGCAATTAATGCATGTTTTTTTCCCACTCACACTCCTTGGTTTGCTGCCACACCTGGAGCAACCTTCATAGCACCAGCCATGCTCGTGTCAACTTTGACTACTAAGCACTTTATGAGGAAGAACAAATCCTATCAAACATTTACAGTGATCAGACCAGTAATCTACCATATCACAGGTTAAGAAATTACTAAAAATAATGAAGTCTAAAAATACTTACAGCTGGCTGATTGCATATGTCTGCAACAAAAATCAAAGGATGGTTACGGAGCAGGCTAGTTGCAGACTGATCATTTGATTGTGTAGTAGCAGTATGAGAGATTGTGCTGATAGTAGGAGAGGGTAATGTGGTAGCACTGCTCCAATGATACAGATCAATAATTAATAAGTTATGGTTTATGGGAATATAATGACATATGAGAATGGTCAACATTGGTGTGGGACATGCCAATGCACTATACCTATCGATAAAATGCTTGACTTCTGGAAACTTTGGATTGCATGAAATCTGGGTGGCATGGTATGAGCTGCAAATCTCAGCCATACCTGAAGGAAAATGGCAAGTATAAAACATAACAGTTACTGAGGACGAACTACACAAAAGAATATCCAAAATGAGTACTGATGAATCACCACCATCATCAAATCCAATCCTTCCAAGCTGCATAATCATCACAACAGGAGATTGCATGGTGCTAATATCCATCATGCAGACATTGGTTGCACAGTCATCATAAAGACGCAACCCACAGTATTGCAAAGAAAAACCATGTACAACAATAGACCATGCAAAAGAAATATCACAACATCTCAGATATTGATATCTCACATGGTTAATGAAATACAAATCATGAACACACATTTATTGTATATACTCAATGGTCATCATCATAACTCAGACCAAAATGAAACACCATTTATGTAAGATACTCACAGCTCATCTACCAGCAACATCTCAATTTGTTCTTGATCTCATTGTTAGACTTGTACTCCTCTAGATGCCCAATTGATGCAACGAATCCAATGACATCTAACAGAGGAATATAATAGTAAACCAGGATGACTAAGTAGTGGGGAATAATAGTCGAACTCATAAAGGAGGAAAACCTGAACTTAATATTACACTTACCAATAAGATAGTCAACATGGTTGCTCTCCTTCATCTTAATTATGTCACGAATAGGGAAGAAATGATAAGAGTATTCAGGTATTTGGGCAAGTACTTCCTTCACATATGTGTAAGTACCTAGTGTCAGTTTGAAAGCATGGTTTGTTGCCCTGTACTCCTTATTATTTGGAGAGACGACGAAATTAGCCATAAAATAAGTTATCCCTTCCACTGCCATGGCACTAAAACAATCAAATAGGTTTTTGTTCATGATAGAAGCTTGGATTCTTGTCCCCTATTTGTTGCCAACACAAGAAAAGGAAATAAGGTAAGTAGTGTGTGCATATTGACAGAGGGAAAATTATTTAGGTAAAGGGATATAAAGCATTCTAACCTCTTCGTCTATCAGTAGCATGGACACACAAAAAACCTCAGTAGGAGACTCCTTCTTGTAGACATTCCACCTCCTGATCACACGAACTGTAATTCTCCATCTGTCAGTTGAGTCATTGACTTCCTTCAGCAGAGAGCACTTCTTGGCAGCCATTTTTGGGACCACAACAATAACTTAAGTTGCTGACTTATGAAAGAAAGTAGGCTTATGCAGGAGTGTGTGAAGCCAATAGCACATATCTGACTTTATAGGGAAAGAAAGCTGTAAATCGGCAAGAGTGGAAGCTAAACTTCCATCGAGTTGAGATTTGAGGTCCTCAACTGAGAGTGGCTACTTAATTATTATGTTTGAAATGGACTAGAAATAAGCCATCATAAAAATTCGGCTGAACTGACATTTACATGCTGAATATTGCAGCCTATGGATGTATGTGTCAGATATGTACGGATGACCTTTGTTGAGACGTGAGGTTTTTTCTAATTTGTTTGGGTGACTGAGTGGAATTTATGCAATACACTCTTAATTCCTAATTCTAATTTCTTGTCTGATTTTTAGTGTACCTGAGTTTTTTGTATAAAATGATTTTATGGCAACATGTTGTACATGAGCTTGTGTTTCTTCTATTGCACAATATGTAATCAGAAAAAAAGATGTATGGAACCAAATCTCCTACTGAGATGATTTGCTGCTTACACGGACAGCAAGAGGTTACTACCTTTACAGTAGAGGCCATCGAAAAAGCACTAAGGCGTAGATATAACAAATAAGGGGCAAAAGTAGGGACTAATGCTACATACTATGTGCGAGATTATCTACTATTAAGCATTGAAATTTGATACAGCATTGGGAAGAGAAGTATTAGAACTGCTGTGACAGACAAGCTACAATATCTCCTACTGAGATGATCTGTTGCTTAAATGGACAGCAGAGGTTATCACCATTACAGTAGAGGCCATAAAAAACACTAAGGGATAGATCCAGCAAATAAGAAGGAGAAGTAGGGACTAAAGCTACGGTATATGCATAAGAAGATCTACTATTAACCATTAAGATTTGGATACGCCTTTGGGATATGTGTGATAAGAAAGGCTACATCATATCTTTATGGCACACAAAATATCACATGGAGCCCCGTGAGCCGTCTCAGGATTGGAATAGATTAATCCAAGCTCTAGCAGCGTGAAAAAAGATTGCTTGTCTATTGATACAAACCAAGAATAAATCCTCATGATGGATACTGATATGCGACAGATCAGCAAATCGCCCACTCTGTATGTATTAGCTGTGCTAAATCATAACATAGCTGTGAAGGCCATTGAGACAAGCATTAATGAGACAACGCTGGTAAAGATCAGCAAAATCCCATCATCTATGGCCCTTCAATTTATAGGATCATCTGTCCTATCACAATATATTAACCTTCTAAATCAAATTGAAGAATGCCTATGAATGTCTTGAATCATGCACAACTAACCATAGTTTATTATTGACAAACATTGCGAAATTAAAGTAAATGCTCAAAATGTTCACCTCACATCTCTACACGTCATGCATATTAAATCAATAGACTGAATGACTTAAATATAATTTTTTTCTCACGTACACACACACAGCATAGTTGAAGAAAAATAGGTCAGAATGGGTGACTGAAGGTTGGAAAATTCATCTCGTAACCTCTTCTAAAAGCATACCAGAGTAAATACTAACATATTGCATAAAAGCATACACTACATGCACTATTCGGGGTCAGGTTCATGGGGACTTGAGATTGATATGGCAATGACACCAGGTCATTTCATTTCTGACTTGCAAAGCAGGTTTTAGCGTGGGTTTTAAGTATTGACGGAGTTGTTCACTGAATACTACATTTTCAAATGGTTGCCATACCCCTTATATATGCTGACCAACTTGTCAGAAAAAGTACTAAAGTGTTTCACCACCACAATCAAATCAATATAACTTGTACACTCAAACATTTTATCAAGAGATTGGATTAGTAGAAAATGCATTTATGACTTTTTTCAAATACGGGAGACTCTTGCAACAAGTTGATTGGTATGAACTTTAATATAAATCAAAACAAATTTTTTTTTTTTTGTATCTAATATTACCTTTCATAATTGATTTATTATTCTGAATCCAACATGATTAATACATGTGCTACAATATCTGAAAGAAAATCTACAGCAATATGTTGGCATCTCAGATAAAATTTGATTGGTTTCTTTGTCAATATCCAGTTATCGAATGTGTTTGAACTGACACATAAAATGAGGATGAAATGCTAGAAGACCTTATTCCACTACCAGGTAGTTTATCAGGTTCAAAATCGTCTGGACGTGTAAATATTCATGGGATAAGTAAAGGATATTATATTCAAATTTTGCTGGTTCAACATACAAACTTTGATCGTAGTAAATACAGTGTTGAAGATACACGGCAATGGGAACTCAAAATATGCTACAAGAGATAAATTGACAATAGTCCAAATTCCATACTACTGCTACTACTAATGAACAATAGCCCAATGCCCAAAATACAAATATCCATAGACACATTCCACAGTAGCTTGACCATCGCCTTCTGTCTAACAAAATAGCACCAGCTGCAGACTCCATTAAACCATCAAGCCAGTCAGGAAATCAAGCTATAACACCCAACAGCAAAGCTCTCCTAAGCGGCATTATCTCGGTGAAGGTTGGGTTCCAGAAAACCTTTGTTGCATTCGCATAGTTCTTGAGGCAGAACTTCCCTGCAGGATGGAAGATGAGATGAGGAGAATAATGAGTGGCATGAAGTCATTATATTAAACTGTATGAGCTAAAGGAACACGTTGTTCTTTCATCATACCGTGCTGCCTATTCACCA